ATTGAACCACAATACCGATAAGTGATTAATAAAAGTCAAAAGACCAAAGAGGTCACCTTAATACCAAAAAAAAAAATAAATAAAACTTTAAAGTAAAGACTTAAAATAAATAACCAAAAGTTGCATTTGTGACTAGCTGTACTCTTATCTCTATAAAAATAATTGTAATCTAACCTTATATATGTTAATAAAATAACTATTATAAAGTACAATTTTTTAAAAAAAAGAAATTTAGTAAGCAAAAATTTTTTTAATTAATTATTTACCAACTATAGTTGTAACTAATCAACTTATCCTATCATGTAACCAAATTTGTTAATTTCTAAAAAAATCAATCCAAATATATGAAATATAACTAGTTGATGATTTAATCAACTAGTTGTTTCAAAATTTTCCATCAACCAGTAACGATTTGAATTACTACTGCTAGACAATTCCATTCTCCAATTTCGCTAACGCCACCCTCACATTATCTAGCCGATCTCTTAACTCTACATGATATATTGCACAAATATAAGTTGCGCGTCCTTGTTTCGGTCTATAAAAATTTCGGTCATGTGACCTCTATTTGTGTAACGTAGTCGTCTAGAAGAGGGTCAAAAACTCATGAAACATAAAATGTTTGTAAATTCAGAAATTGAAACTTTAACAATAATACGTATCACACCATTTGTACCGACTAAGCTAAAACAGATTTTATTGATTTATCCGAAATAATGCCCTGTTCTTTCTTCTTAGTTTGTGCATAATTGATTAGTAACACACTAATTCCTTATGATGACCATGTTGAATGGCACAAGTATTTGAGCGATGAAAACGGAAGAAAGGATCTTATATATGTAGAATTACACAGGTGGAATCAAAATAACGGTATAAATAATAATCCATAACCATTCACACGACTACGTTAAAATAAAAAATGTCAAAACAATAATACGTACGTATACAAATAAAAATGCGAATAAAAAAAAATAATACGTTTTTTATCTAGCGCTAGCATATAAGTATATTTCCTGGGAAGTGAAACCAATCACGTAAATCACATGAATTATGTATCACACATTTAATATAAATAATACTGTAAAGTTCGATACTTACAGGTTCATCATTTAGCAGACTTATCGAATAGGTCAACCAAGTTTTTATGAAATAAAAAACCGTGCGAAACACTAACCATATCCAACGTTAATAAAAATCACTAACCCAAAAAGTTTATTAAAGGAATAATACAGAATTATATGGTACAAGAAACCAATAAAAGATACCGATGCGGAATGTTTAGTCCTGCATGTTTTGCTCATTGTTATTGTGTTACGTATTGCAAATGTCATACGTGATTGAAATTCGCGGTTCGCGATAATTTACTAAAGTTCTTACTGTACTTTACAACTATTATATTAATATATTTATTATCGTATACGTAAAAAAAAAAATAAAAAAATGGGTGTTAAATATCTAAACTCATTATTAAAACGTTACGCTCCCGACTCAATATCTCAAAAAACCCTTGATCAGTACAAACACAAGAGATTGGCAATAGATGGTAGTATTTATCTTCGAAAATTCGTTTATGGTATCAAAGCTACTAATAATCAGGGGGAAGTGCATCCGTATACACATATCCTTGGTTTTTACAGAATGACAGTACTTTTAAAACAAAATAATATTACACCAATATTCGTGTTTGATGGCAAAACAAGGATAAAAGAGAAAAGTAAGGAATTGATAAGAAGAAGAAATTTAGCGAAAAAAACTCTAGAGGTATTGAAATTTGAAGAAATTAGAAATGAAAGAATAGAAAAATGGAAATCAGTTGTTAATAAAATGGAAAAAATGAAAGATAATAGTGCTTCAGAATACATAACAATGGGTCTTAGTAAAGTTGTAGAAGAAACGATTTCATCTTCAATGATAAAATCTCTAGATAACAGTACTCACATTCATCTTAATATTCCACAGAATATTATATCCCTAACTACGACACGAGCAATTGAAACTTTGACCGGTAAGATCTTACAAGATCTAATGAAATTCATTCAATTAGAACAGAATACAGATTTTGTAGATTCATATTTCGAAAAATCGTGTATTGAAGGATCCGACAAATTGATCAAGGAGATAAGAAGCTTAAAGGGTGATAAATCAAGATACATAAGGCAAAAGGTTATACTGGAATTGCAGATACCAATTTTAATTTATTTAATGAAATTTATCAGGCAAGTAGTTGAACCTCAATCGCATAACATGAAAGTTATGCAGAAACAACAAACACAATTGATTCGCTTATTACTTTTAATCAAAGAAATAGCAACAAAAAGCCAGGCAAGAAAAACCTCATCAGTTGAGAGGGTCAAAACAATTGCAAATTTGACGGATGAACAGGTATTCAAAAAAAAATATCCTAATTTTAAACCTTCAAGCAATGAAATAAAACTAAAAAAGAAAATAAAGGATATGGTGAATACGGCATTGAAAGATGTAGTATCATTGGCCAATGATAAAAGGTTTACAAAAGTACAACGCGGGATAATGCAGATGGAATACCAACTGGTCGAATCTTTGTTAGCCGGACAATTATCAAATGATATAATATTAGATATAGAAGCAGAAAGCAATAGCTTAATGAAAAGCTTAGGAAAACGAACAATTAAAGTTACTTGGAAGATGTATGATGAATGTCAAGAATTTTTAAAAGCGTGGGGAATTCCGTGCATAACATCAGAAGGGTACGAAGCGGAGGCACTATGCGCATCATTAACAACACACGGCTTAGCCGATGCATCAGTGTCAGACGATACAGATACCATATTATATGGTGATGGACCAGTTGTAAGACAATTTTTGACTAAAAAAAATCCGATTCAAGAAGTTTCACCGAACAAAATTCGAGAATTACTTAATCTTTCACGTGATGAATTTATTGATCTATGTATTCTATGCGGAACGGATTTTTCTGGAACAATCCAAGGGATTGGACCCACAAAAGCATTAAAAATGATTAGGAGTTATGGGACGATAGAAAATATCATATCAAAACTTGACTCATATAATACGTATGAATCAGATTTTATGGAAGAAGTTAAAAGTGCAAGAAGAATTTTCAAAAGTCCACCAATTATTTCCTCAAAATATAAAAAAATGTTGGAAGAGAAGGAGGAAAATGCGGAATTCCCGAAATTATTGAACCAATTTCAAATCGATACTAATGATAAGCATAATATGAAAAGGTGAAACCCGAATATCTTTGATGCGGATTAATTTTATTAAGGATATGTTAAATATTATATCCTTATATATGTAATTACCAATTAGGATGAACTGAGGGTATATCGTTATAGCGATGGTAAGTACATCTAATATCTAACATGTCCTTAAAACCATTGATTCAGTTTTCACCGCCAGAATACTGAAGCGGAAGTAATCAACATATTCGTTTTGATGCATCACTTCAGTCTACTTTGCTTTATAGATAATAAATAAACACGACTATAATTATACATTAGCACTCGTTTCTTATTATATATAACGATTTATAGAGATTTATAGAGATAGTATATAATTTAATACTAACACAACGTTATTATACATAATTTATTTCTACATTAGCATTAATATTTAATTTTCAACTTTAAGAATATTTTATTATTAAAATAAACAGAATCTCAGAATAGATATGAGTATGACAATTTTGTTTTTTATATATATACATTACAAGAACAAAAAAAATAATATTTTATTATTAAAATAAACAGAATAGATATGAGTATGATAATTTTGTTATATATACATTACAAGAACAAAAAAAAAAGTTCAAAAACCAAGTATTTGCTTTTTTTCTTTTTTTTTTTTTTTACTTGGCCTTACATTTTACTTTTGTTGTAAGTATAAATAATGCATTATCGAAACTTATTTATATGTATATTTATATGTCAATGCGATTGCTTCGACACATATTGATTTTATCACAAAAACATGTTATATTTATCTGCTATATCGATTATGATTCAAGAAATTTCTTATCTGCTCGCTCGTCAGTTCCTCTTTATTTGCATACCATGAGGCTATTATTTTTTTTAAAAAAAAAATAAGTGGTGTGAATTAATCATCGCAATTATAACAATTAAAGCAATGATTGGAGATTCAGTCGATCGGTTACATACCAACTGTACCAACATTTTGTGGTCCTTTTACGGCAATAACATCGTCGGCGTCCCTCTTAAACATTTTCTATAATGAAGAAGTACAATTATGAATTATTATTATTATCGTTATTATTATTATTATTATTATTATTATTTAGTATCTTTAATACCTGAGCATCAGATCCAATAACACCAGCAACCAAAACTATTTTTCCTTTGTATCCCATTTTTTTTAATAGGGTGATAGCGGCCCTGGAGCTTTGACCAGTTTGGACGCCATCAGTAGCAAGCAAAATCGTAGCATTCTCTGAGGTTGAGAGCGGAAGATTTGGTGGTTGAAACAATGTTCTTTGCATGTCAAGTTGAGAGCGCTAAACAATGATCGTGTAAAAAAAATTATTATTTTAAAAAAAAATAATAATAAATTATAAAGACAATTACCTCTTCCCTAATTATTTGATCGAGTGTTTCTTGTGGGATATCACAGCCTCTATTATTATTATTATTATTAGTAATTTTTCAATTTATGAGATTGTTATCTAATTCATACCTAATAATTTGATCCTTTAATAATGGCTCCTCTGTTCTATCGGTTACAGCGCCAACTGTCCATCCATCAGCCTTAAGGGTCCTGATCAGGAACAAATCTAATGGTAGGTTTAATTTTACAGCGATTTCATTTGCCAGAGGTAGAGGCGCAGAATTGATAGAAAGGACGACTTTGGTAAATAATTAATAATAAATAATAAATAATCAGTTTTCGTTCAACGAAAGAGAAAAAGAAAAGCTATAATTTCAATTTAACACACTGGTGTTTGGCTTATTATCATAATACTTTAACAATCTAGCTAAAGTTTTGCCCGCTTCCGCTCGTGAAATAAAGCCAACGCGCATGTGAGTTCTCATAGGGACGATATGTTTATGATTAGTCAAGGCGTGAGTGCGAGGTATCGTGGGTGAAGTTTGTTCGGAAAGCATTTTATTTATTTATTTTTGTTTATTTACTCAAAAGTTTAGAAAATAATTTTTGGAACAAACGTCGTAAGTCAAGGAACCCGTAATTCCGATATATTTATACCCAATACTTCTGTACTTGTTTAACTTATGATTAATATATGAATTAACTTAAATGAAGGCGCGGGAAAAATTTTTAGAAAAGTGCAACGCAACACAAGGTAAACTTTAGATAAGATTTGAGAATTAATTTTATGATAACTTTGTAAGTTTAAAAATGGTTGCATTGCGTTATTGACTGTTCATAAAGACGATTCCATTACTATATATCTCGTAAATACAAAATTTTCCTTTATTAAATAAAAATGTAATCATTCAACTTGCGCTATAAATGACGAGTATTATGACAGCATTTCGTTATAACAACAGTTTAAGCCTCACGGTTAAAATACGAAAAGTAATATATTATATATATAAAATATCGATATATATTATCTATATAAATTGTCATACCACTTGGATTAACTTATATTCGTCACCTTGCATAAGTTTATTGTGATAAGAGATAAGATGATCTATAATCAACAAGAAATACCCAGATTTAGATATTGTTTAGAAATTACAACACGCCAATAATTATGTTGTGCTTCCACAGGTGCTATCTTAACTCAAAACGCAGTATAGATAAAATTGGGTGTGAATTTCGATTTGTGCGTACGTACTTACCTGTTACGCACTTACGCATAAATACGATCAGTGATCCTCTTATCATCATTTCCATATAACTTTTTTTGCTCCTGATTTTGTACAATGATAATGCTTATCTGTCCGGGTTGAAACTTGAGCGACCACGCGGTCGACTGTAAATCCGGTATCACAATTTCTAAAATTTTGAATTGTTTTAACTTTTCCAAGAACCCAAGGGCTAATATTTTCTTTAAAAGTTTATGATCATCGTTCTCACTCTCTATTCCCCGCTCGTAAAACTACTTTATTTAGTGAATAAAAAAGAACATTATATGCTAATAATTTTTTCTTTGTTTACTATTATTAGATTAAATGCTAAATTTTTACGAACGTATGTATGATTTTTATTCGACTTTTTTGGATCATGCTACTTTTATAGAGTCATTCCACTTTTTTTCGGATTATCACGAATTTTTAATTCCATATAGCGTTGATCACGTTACGATCATTCAACGATGAAATCATCCCAGTACTGCAGTAGGCTCTACTTTGTGTCGGTAGTACAAACTTCTAAAAGGGAAGTAGATCAATTAAATTGACGGTTCAAAGTTTTTTAATTATTAACAAAGATTAGTACAACAATTATTTTTTAATTAAATAAAATTTGAAAAAGTGGCCTCACCTTAACACCAAAAAAAGAAAAAAATTTTGAAAAAGTTTAATATAAGTATATACTATAGCAAAATTTTATTTTTTTAAAGATATTATATATGTATTTAATAAAATTTAATAGTTTTTTTTTTATATTGATGTTTAGTATAGATGAGCATATATTGTAATATGGTTGCTTAACCTAACTAGATTCTAAATATTTGTTTAATAAATATGTCGTTGCCAGTTAAATCAAGCAAGAATATTACTTGACTTAACGTGAATGAGTGGTTAAGAAATGTGTTAAAAAAAAAAATAT